CTAAACCGTGAATCCTGAACCCTAAACCCTAACCTCTGTTTCCAGGCGTTTGGGTTCGCAGGGTCCTCCACCGCTGCTGTCCGCCGTTTGAGGCGCGGAAGGCCTAGGATCCTCAGTGCGACAAGTATGGGGAGTCAGGGTTTAGGGCTTCGCGCTAGGGTTTAGGGTTGCTTAGGGATTGTAAGGTTATGTAGGATTTAGTGTTCGGTTGTTTAGGGCTTAGCGAGTTATTTAGGGTGTAGCCTTTCAAGTTCAAGGGTCAGGGTGTAAGGGGGCATTCATTTGTTTTCAGGTTTGTTGGCCTCGTAGTAGAGCTTCGGGGTGTGTTTGACAAGCAGAGGACATGAGATCTCTTCAGGGCATTCAAGCGGGAATTTTACACCAGATTACCAGACAGCAAGTGTGTCTCCCGATTAGCCAAGATTCAAGGAGTAGCCACAGTTGTCGTGGGCTCTCCTACCTGCGCTGTAGTCTAAACTCCGAGTATCCCCCTTAATAACCTTTATAGTAGTCCCCTATATAATCCCCTATATAACCCCCTTTGAGGAGTTTAGGCTATAGCTCACCTGCTGGAGGTAGCCTCCGCGGCCGCCGCAGGCCTGCGCGCCACTGTACTGGTCTCAGCATCCCGACTCAAGCGGGCCTCCTCCTAATGGACTAGGGGCGTCATGTGACGGTCGCTGGCGTCAGGACTTGGAAACGCTGCGCATTATAAGTTAGGGAGTGCGACTCGGACAGTCCAGCTCGTTCAGCTCCAGCGGAAGCTCTACACGCTCAATTCGATGGCTCAGGAGCTCCAGTGCTCGTTGGTGTTGCTCTCAAGGAGGTCGGTGTCCTCCTACCCCCTGACACAATGCTCCCTCACTGTGGATGGAGGAAACCTTGCACAACCTTCCATGCCCAACACCCAAGGAAGTGGGTGGTGCTAGATCTTGTCTACCCGCTGTGGTTTCAACACTCATTGACCACAACGAGTTATCCCTAGTGGGAAACGACGAACCCACAACTACTCACACGATGCGTCCGCAATCTCCAACCAAAAGCCCTGATCGACAACAAGAAATACATTCCCGAACCCTTGACCCTAAATCTTATACAAAAACCCTAACCCTAAGGCTCAACAAAACAGCCCGAAGCCTTTCATAGCATGATCGTTGGGCCAAGAAACCTCAAATGTGAGTCCTTAGGGCCTTTGGTAGGTAACCCAGTAGTCCCCATCATTCCCCAATACTCCCTAAGCTTCCTTAAGATTCCCCAAGCCTCCCTAGTACCCTCCTCCCTTGAACCCCCCCCCCCTTAAGGATCCCATAATTTGGGATACAGCTTCAGAGGCTCAGGTATGGGACCCGATGATAGGGTCTCGGAATCTAAACTCTGCACTCCAAAACCCTGAGGCCAGAGGGTTTGGGGGATTTGGGGGTTTAGAGGCTTAGGGTCTTAGGGTTGTTGGGTTTAGGGCTTAGGGTTTTAAGGTTTTAGGGTTTAGGGCTTAGGGTTTTAGGGTTTGGGGCTTAAGGTCTTAGGGTTTAGGTTTAGGGGGTTGGGGGTCTAGAGCTTATGTCTGAGACTGTAAACAAGTACAGCTATGAGCGCTAGAGGCCGGACATTGCCTGCTTTGGGGCTTTGCGCGAGAGTAGAGCACCTCACCCTCGACCTTAAACCTCAGCAAAAACTGCCTCCAAAACCTACCTGGACCCCAAAAGTATGTAAAATAATAGCCTAAAGGCTATTATTACGGGTTTAGGGCTATTATTCTACATACTTTTGGGGTTTAGGTAGTGGCCCAAATAACAAGCTGTCTTAACCCAAGAGGGGTAGGAAACAGGGGAAAGTAGATAAAATCAATATGAACTACTGGCTGTTCTGCGTAGACTCTGAAGCCCCCAAACCCTCAAACCTAAGCCCCTAAATCCTAAAACCTTAAAATCCTAAGCCCTAAATCCAAAACCCCTAAACCTAAACCCTAAAACCTTAAGCCCTAAACCCTAAAACCTATGGTTGCCGAGGATCGATGGCTCCTTAAGCAGCACTGGCAGCAAAGCATCGAAGGGCCCTGGTAGATTTTAAGGTTTGGGTCGGAGGAGCATTGGGGTGTTGAGGGCTTTGGGGTACCTGAACCCCCAAAGTAGGTAAAATAATCGCCCAAAACCCTAAATAGCCCAAAAAGCAATTATTCTACGTTCCTTGGGGGTTTAGGTAATGAGTGTTTGAGGTTTGGAGGTTCCGCGGATTAAAGTTGGAATTAAGGTTTCACGTCTGGAGGCGTAGAATTGGGAAATAGTTTGGGTGTCAGGGCGTATGGGTTAGGATTTTATAGTTGAGGTCACAGAGTTAAGTGTGGGTTGAAGGGAATCCGACTTAGACATATTTGATTTGGGTTTCCGGGGGACGGTGTACCTCAAGATATATTCCGACCCGGGTTTCAAAGGAGAGTGTACCTAAACCCGCAAAAAAGAAATCAACAAACTTTGAATCAAATCCCCGAGCCCCACAGATTCTGCGCATGGGGGTTTTCATGAGTGGGACGTGTCTATATAAACCAAGAAGCGCCTGACTTTGGCAATGGAGCCCAAACATCTAGGTATTTTAGGGTTCAGGGTTTAGGATCAAAATAAAGTAAGGTTCCTATACTGGGAGTTCGTAGCATGGTGTGTGTTCATGGCCCTATATTATAGGTGCTCAGCATCCTTTTCCGGAGCCCTACGCCCTGATACCCTAAGCCCCCTGACTCCAGGCTATGCACCCCCCATATAAGCTAGAGGCCAAACTCCCTAAAGCAGGTTATGTAGGGGATTATATAGGAGAGTATGATGGGGCTCATCAACTGGCATACTAGGAGTTTGGACTACCTAAACCCCAAAAGTATCTGAAGTAATAGCCCTAAACCCATAATAACAGCCATAAAGGCCATTATTTTACATACTTTTGGGGTCCAGGTACAGCTCATCTAAACATACGGGGGATGAAGGGAATCGCGCACAACTCGGGTTCCTGAAAGTACTGTAACTACTAGCCCTATGGGCAAATTTAGCGTTTTGGGGTTTAGGGTATTTGTAGATATTTATATATGTGTGAACGGAATAATGCAAGCTTTCCTCCGGTCACCCCTAAACCTTTAGGCCTATAAACCATAAACGCTAGAGGGCTGGTTGGGTAGAACAGCTTCTCAACCCAACGCGCGACGGCTACACGCACTTGCCCCTTCGGCGAGTCTTAGGGGGTCTAGGGTTTAGGGTGCTTTCGGGTTTAGGGTCTTAAGGTCTCGCAGCTCAGCAAACAAAGGCCCCCAGCAATTAAAAGGACATGCCATGGGGGTTGCAATGATTCTTGGGGTCCCTATAAAAAGGAACCCATGCAAATACGACCCCAGCGAACAGCGGTCTAGGGTTTAGGTTACGGGGCTTAGGGTATAGGTTACATGGATTAGGGTCTAGTTTGATCTAGACACATGTGTATATATATATATACGTATCCATTGACGATATCACCAAAACAACAGCCCTTATATTGTATGTGTGCAAAATGTGGGTGTTGTCAAAATTATGGTCCCTTTTTGGGTACCCTAAATATTAGGTGCCGTATTATAATAAGGACCCAAGAAGGGACCATAATTTTGACAACCACCCATATGAATCATACATCCTGAACGAACATCCCTAACCTGAAGCTCAGCCAAGATGCCAAATGGCCTACAGCCTGCCCCCTCCACCCCCCAATGTAAGCTTCTGCAGGAACATGAGCTCCCTGCCCTCAACCCTAATACCCTAAACCCTAAACCCTAATCCCTAATCCCAGACCTTGAACAAAAGATACAAAATGGGAGCCTAGGGAAATGCTTCCCCGCAAGTAGATAATTTCTAGGTTCGGGTATATTAGGATAAGATCCCCACATGCCCCAAATAGTGTCTACTTCAGGGGGGTCTATACGCAGAGAATGCATCAGGATTATGGGTGGGTCGCCATAGCTAAGGAGTCAAGACTTCATCCAGCCAGCATTACCCTGTTCGGCGGATTTACGGGGTTGCTGTTAAGGATCCTTCCTTAAAAGCAACCCAGCTTAAGTTGTAACCTGGGCGTAACTTGAGTGTTATCTTGCCTGGGCTCAATGCAGCCTTCCAATTAGAGACCCCCGTGACTCGTTTTTAACCTCAACCGTAAAACCCTGAAACCCTCATACCTAAACACAAAACCCTGCAAAACCTAAAACCCCAAAATCGTAAAACCCCGAAACCTTCAAAATCCCAAACCCTAAAACCCTAAGACCTTTAAGCTAAGCCTTCCAGTTGTGGCTCCAGAAGGCAGCCGGGGGTGATCTTCGTCGGGCCGAGGCTTCGAAGCCACATGGCCGAAGCTTCCGCAAGGAGAGATACATCTAAGGAGTTTAAAGTTGGGATTAGGGTTTAGAGAGTTTAGGGGTTTCGAGAGCTTAGGGTTTATGGTTTAGAGAGTTTAGGGATTAGGGTTTGAAGAGTTTAGAGCTTAGAGTTTACTATTTAGGGTTTAGGGTTTGGGCTCAGGTTCAGGACTTCGGGCTTGAGATTCTGGGGGTACTGTAGGGGTCTGGTGTTTATAGGGCTCAGGAGATTAGGGTTTAGTATTTAGGGGAAACAGCTTCCAATATCTCGGTCAAGTTTGACAAAGGCGCAGGGTGTGGCATTGGCTGTCGGCAAGGCCTTAGACTAGGTTCCACGGCAGGACGTTGATCTTATTTGCGCGCTATCTGAAGTAGCTTTAATGGCTCATGGTTTGAGGTTGCATTTGGGTTTAGGAACCTTGTTGGGTTTAGGGTTTAGAGTTGCTCTGGGGTGTACCTAAACCCTAAAAAGTATGTAAAATAATAGCCCTAAACTCATAATAACAGCCATAAAGGCCATTATTTTACATACTTTTGGGGCCCAGGTATTCCTTTAATTATCCAACATTTCAGCAATCTGCTATGAAACTTGAAAAGGTTGGTTAGTTTTGTGCATGAGGCCTTGACCTTGGAGGCCCGCCTGAGCCTTCGAGCCAAGAGAACAATAAAGAAAACTGCTTGGTGGGTCAGGGGGGGTTAGGGTTTAGGGTTTAGGGTTTAGGGTGGCCTAGGAAGTATACCCATAACAGCTATAAGCTACATCAATAACCAACTGAAAGGAGGGTGGAATCCTAGGTTTCACTGAGTCTTTCTCATGGGGATACTGTCAAACGTCTGCAACTGCGCATTCCTGATTTCGGCTTTATATGCTAGAATCTTACAGTAAACGCATAATAATAAGGCTCAAAATCCAAAATCCCATTGTCAGGTTGTTTTCCTCAGGATCTTAGGTTTTGGTTTTGGGGTTCGGCTGTTAGGTTCCCAGAAGGCAAATAAAATTTCGGTACCCAATGCAATCATGGGTTTCGCCCCCCTCCTCCTCCTCCTCCTACTACTACTACTACTACTACTACGACGATGACGACTACTACTACCACAAACCCTAAACCCTAAACCCTGAACCCCAAGCGGGGTGAGGGTAGTAGGAAACTTAAGCCCTAAACTTGTTTTTGGTGCCAACACCGCTCTTCTGGGAAAGAGATGGTGGGAGGTTTCCAGCTATAAGTCCACTGCCGTCATCACTACCTGGACAAAAAGTATATGTAATAATTGCCTAATCTTTGGCTTTTGGCCATAGTTTCACCTACTTTTGGGGTTCAGGTATTGTCATGTTCTACGCTCGCCAAGTACCACTGGGCATAGAAAAAGAAATCCTGCACCCTATAAGCTCTAAACCCTCAACCCTAAACCCTTCACCGAGTCCTAAACTGCCAACCTGGACAAACTAAGATGGGCTATAGTCTGAACTCCTGGTATCCCCCTACATAAATGATTCCCTTTAAGGACTTGCAGACAGTAGCTCATATGGGAAAAGGTTCCTGAAAAAAGACTAGTGTCCCCTCAACGGGGGTCTATGGCATGGGCTTCCATCACTCAACCCTTAAACCGAAAAAAAAAAAAAATCAACACCTAAAACCTTCGTTGCATACCCTTGGCACGAGGGTTGCCATCTTCTGCGGGAACTCAAGGGTTTAGGAGTTGGGGTTTAGGAGTTGGGGTTTAGGATTCCGGGTTTGGGGTTTAGGGTTTCGAGTTTAAGGATTCGGGATTAGGAATCGGATTTAGGGCCCAACTCCCCAACTCCTGAGCTTCGAACAAACGCCCCACTACAGAAACCTAAAGGGGGGTTTACCAAGCTTGGGGCGTCCCCATGATAAGGATAGTGCAGTAGCTTAGTTCGGCCGCGCCTTGCAAAATACCACCAGACACGAAGCCCTGAAGTAGGAAGATTGCCCTAGAACCCACAAGTACCCAATTCTGAACCCAAGCAACCACAGATCGGACCTACATGGGTTTAGGGTTTAGGGGTTTAGGGTTTTAGGGGTTTAGGGTTTAGGCGTTTAGGGTTAAGCGTTGTTGGGAGTCCTGGGGTGAACCCTTTACCTGAAACTCCAAACCTAAGCTGTATAGCATATTCCCTGTTCCTACTTCACCACTATTGCTGAGCGGGGGGCCAAACCCTAAACCCTTAAAACCTACGTCCTAAACCCTCAAACCTTACACCCAAAACCCTACACCCTTAAACCCTGAAACCCTTAAACCCTGACACCCTGAAACCCTTAAACCCTGAAACCTTGAAAGCCTGAAACCCTGAAACCCTGAAAGCCTGAACCCTAAACCCCTAAACCATTAAACCCTAAACCCTTCAACCCTAAATCCTAAGTCCTAAATGAAACCTAAACCAAAAATCCTAAACCCTAAATCCAACACCCTAAGCCCTTAAACCCTAAAACCCAAAAATCGCGCAGGTTTTCTCCAACAAAAGAGCAAACTTTGGCTCAGCCTGGCGGACTGGCGAGCTTTTGGTGAAGCACAAGGCGATCTTAGGGTTTAAGGGTTTTAGGGTTTAGGGAGGGTTTAAAGGTTTTAGGGTTTGAGGTTTAGGGGCTTTAGGGTTTTAGGGTTTAAGGGTTAAAAGGCTTAAACCATTATGAGTTGAGGGTTTAAGGGCTTTGCTGTGTAGGGTTAAAGCTTTCAGG